AATCACCTGTCTTTGGTATACCCCTGATCACAACAGAAGAGAATAATGAATAATTTGGTATCTCAAGTTACTAGTTTCATTACAAGTGGCTGGCTACTTATCCTGTTAGCGGTGATACTGGGCTGTGGAAGGTAGTTCACCTATGATTTGCCTGATTAGTTTGGACTTTACTGATTAGCGCAACCATCTGGTGGTTTAGAAAACATAATCTGTTGTATATAAGGAAAAGTTTGGGAAAGACTTAATATTGACATATCATCCTTAATTAAATATTTACTGACCTGAAATGGCTTTAAAGACAATACTTACAGAAATAAATAAAATGGGTTAGTATTTATAAGAGGCTATTCCAGTTACAAATCATGGTGCTCTGTGCAATCATGCAGGTCAATTAGAAACCAGTAGTATTTAACATTTCAGACAGTGTCTAGCATGCAGTTTTTTTCCCTATTCCAGGAGGTACAATGTGCGAGTTGAGGACATCATGCTGAGAAACATCCCCTTTTTGACACTGAACACCAAATATCGAGAGCTGCAGGAGCTTCTTGCAGACTGCCGAATGAAGAGTCTGGCGCTGGTGGAGACAGCAGGTAAGATAAATTGATGATGGCATAAATGAAAGGTCAGAGGACATCATTGCTCATTTTCTTCTTAATTACATCATGTACAATTACAGAAACTTCTAACTCCCACTTCCAAAGCTAATATACGCTGCAGGAATGTTTAACTATAAAAGCACAGAATAAAAGTGCTAGATTAGTGAAACTTAAGTGGTATAAAACCCATATAATTCACAGCACACTCAGTCAGTCTTCTGGCACAGGAAGGATGCATTCCAAGACTTACCGTTGGAGGTGCTGGCACATTTCTTGTCCAATGGTGACAGTGCAGCTCTCCATGCCGAAGTCCATCCCAAATACAAAGGTAAAATGGCTAATCCTGCCTTCATCCCAGAGGGAGTACAAAATGCGACACTTCGAGGACTTGCTGCATAAGAACCTTTGCTGCATTTCCTGATGGTGGCAGGATCCCCTCTGATGACTAAAATTCCCTCAATCCTCTGATCCCTATAAAGGGGGGCAGCAGTGGCGGCTGCTTTGTTGCTGCATTTGAGTTTTTTTAAACCACATCAGCCATGCCTGTCAGCTCTCAGAGACAGCACCTGAAGCACATGATTTCTTATAACATTTGATTTAGGGCTGATGTAGACACTGTCAGAATTGTAGACTATTGGGTGACCAGGCTGCACCACTGTCCAAAGCTTGTGCTGGAGCTTCTGGCTTGCCATACAGCCAGTATGCGGTCTGAGAGGGCCTTCAGAGTAGCAGGGGGTTTGCACATATATAGTGTGAAGAGGACACAAACAAAACTGTTTTTTTTTTATGCGCCCTCTTCACACTATATACAGTATGTGTTGTGGTGTGCAGAAAAACACAGTTTAATGGGCATAGAATGAACAAGGCCATACTTTGTTGTTTTGATGCTGAAACAAGGGCATGGATACTTTTATAGGCACTGTATGTCTACATAATATAAACATACAGTTTTACAATTGTTTATCAACATTTGTAGTCATTTTAAAATGTATTAGTTTTAGCAGTATATTGCTGTATTTTCGTATGTTTTGGAAAGACCTGGTGGATGGGGGGAGTATATGTAATAAACACCCAGATACAAGTCTTTACTGAATTAGGACATGGTTAATATACATTTTTCCCTGGTAAATGGTCTGATATTTGTGGTGAACATTTGCAACGTCAGTCTTGGCTCAATAGAAAGTTTTTTAAATCTTAAGTTTTGTTATGCTAAATTCAAATTTTTTTTGCATGTTTCTGTTAAGAAATGCAAAAGTTCATATTTATCTTTAGCATGTGTGTATCATTTTCAGTTATTTGTTTTGTTACCATTAAAGACCTTATAATGTATGATAGCATTGGTGTTGAATGAGCTTATGAAAACATTTTCCATTCACTTTTTACCAGTTTTGTCTGCATTATTTTCCCCTTGGTTTTTTTTTCCATAATTTTTTAACCTCTCTATTTTTACAGATGTCACTGTTACCTTTTTAAGGGTTTTGTTTTATTAGCAAGCCATCACCCAAAGACATTTTGACTAGAACAATCAGAGCTAAGATGATTCGGTATGGAAAATGAACTCTAATATCAGTGCTAGTTTAAATTGTAATACTCTCCTTACTAATAATGTGTAGGTGACAGCTCTGTGAGTACTTAAAAAAAAACAAATATTCTGCCAGTCACATCAGCCACTGTGGCTATGGAAATGCCAATCTACAAGATCACCCTCATCTCTCCTTTATCTAACTAGTTTTGTTACCGTGGCAACTGTGGATGCCTGGTCTCCACAGCAACAGAAAACAAGTGAAGTAAAATAAGAAATATATGCTCTTTATTACTTCCTACATTGTACAGCACAGCAATATGTTTGTATAGTTGGATGTAGCAGGAGTATAGCAAATGAGGAACACACCTGCTAGATGTTAGCTCTAGGAGGCAGAGAGGAGAACGATATGAATAATATAATAAAAGTACTAAATAAATGAATGTTATAAATAATTGCTGTATATGTAGAATACACCGTTATGGTGTCTGTACTATTAAACGGGTATTAAACTCTCAACGTTTTTTAGTTGAATGCATCCCAAGCAAGCAGTTTTTCATTCCCAAGTACATTTCTTGGGGGGAATTCATCAGAACTGGAGAAGACAAAATCTGGAGCAGCCGTGCATGGCAATTAATCAGCTTCTCTCTTCAGTTTGTTCAGTTAAGATTTGAAAATGAAAGAGAAGCTGATTGGTTGGATCTAGGTTGCAGAGCACCGATTCCCCAAAAATCCGAGTAGGGAACCACACGGCTTGAGTACTTTACTGCACGGTGCACTAGGGCCAGTGCGGGCACAGGGAGTGGCTTGGTGCTAGGGCTGTTTCCCTGGACATAAGGAGACTCATCCATAGTGCCAGCCAGGCACCATTTGTTATTAAATCTATGTAATAAGAGTACAGTTTTGTATTTTTATAAGGGACAATACCTTTGCCCATTTAGAATGTCTCTCCACTCTCCAGCATCCCCACTGCTTCTGCTTGGCCCTTATGTTATCTTCAGACTCGTCACGTAATTTAAACTATCGGATCTGGCATATAGTGCTATTTCAAATTTAATGTAAATTTATATAAAATGAGAACCCCCTATATTTATGAAATATGTTTGAGTACACACATTTTAGCAGATGGCACTGGTGAAAGCAGCTTCAGACACACCAGATCCCCTCGTAGTTGGACATTGAAAATAGGGGCACAGCTTTGCTTTTCCAGGCTTATGAAACCCAGGAGCAGATGCTCACCACGCTTCTCTTCTTTTTGCAGGTCAGCTTATATAAACTGTTTAGGTTGTAAACGCATGGACATTGTTTATTAGTGAGACATTGTCCAGTAATATTAGTTCACTTTGCATCAGCTCACAAATGGATGCAGTGTTAGGTATACTTGTAAAATATTTGGGATTGTCCTTGGACTTTGCAATTTTTCAAGTCCATAATATACATCTGTTGATAGGATGTACAGATTCAAGGTTCCTTGGAAGCAGTTGAGAAACAGCCAACAACAGAAAAGTTTAAGTCAAAAATAATCCTGGGTATTTCTGCATGTGTTTGCATGTGGGTTAAACAAACGCGTGCTGCTGTATTTGTTCTTTGCACTTGTAGTGGGATTTTGATATTAACACATATATTTTATATTGACATTAATTAACATATGTATTATTATTATCATGTAGCAGTTACACAACATAATCTTAGGGACCTGTAGAGTATCTCGTTTTAATAGAGATACATATTTAACACTGAACTATTCTTGCATGTTAAGGTGTAATGAAATAAATAAGTTGAAAGAACCCTTTTATTGTTCTTGGGACTTGTTCACACCAAATCCGGACCATATCTGTACGAGTTTCTGCACATGCAGTGCAGTGTGTTTTGCCGCTTTCCAGGCCATTTATTTAAAAAAAGGGCTTTCAGTGCGTTCCAGGGTATTTGCATGCATTTTTTTGTTTACATGCGTTTTGTTGCATTCCAGAGCAGAGAAAAATAGGGCATGCTGCATTTTTTCCACATGCTCTGGAACGGAACGCTGCGGTGTGAACTAGAGCCCAAAATACCATTGGAATACATTGGATGCATTTTTGATGCGTTCTGTAACTGCTCTGCTCTGCATCTGCTCCGCACTTGAAGGACCCTTAGTGTCCTTCACAGAAAACACAAGTTCACAAGCACTGCATTTTCAGCTACATAATTTTGTATAACTTTGAGCAAAGATTTAAGTAGATACATTTGACATATATCTTCATATTGGCAATGTATTGTAGAGAATAATGAGTAAGTAAAGTCTTGCATTCACATAAGGGGGAATGTATCAAAACTGGTGCAGACAGAATCTGGAGCAGTTGACCATGGCAACCAATCAGCATCTCACTTCAGTTTGCTCAGGTAAGAGTTGAAAATGAGACAGAGAAACTGATTGGTTGCAGCGCTGCTCCAGATTTTGATCAATTCCCCCCCATAGTATAATATCTATCTGCGGATGGAGAGCGCTGTGAGCGGCCGGTGTCTCTCCTCCCACACTGCTCAGCCGCCTATCACATTGCGACAGAGCGGTGTGGGGGCATAGACGGGGCTCTCCTCTCGCACCGCTCACTCAGCCTCCTGTGACAGTGTGTGTCAGAGAGGAGAGCAGGCTACAAACACTCAGTGATCACTGAGTGTTTGTAGATAATTGAGGACATGGTATGGTTGAATGAATGTGAGGTGATCTATATCCACTCCTGTTCATTCATGATTGTGTTTATAGTAAATTCTCAGATTATGAATGAACAGGAACACTCCGTATAGAGGATTCCTGTTCATTGATAACTGGGGCTGCAGAAAAAGAGATTGAGGACTCTGTGTTCTCAATCTCTTTGTCTATTTTAAAAAGGAAATAGGGTTAAACAATAAAATATTTTAAAAATTAAAATAAAAACATTTTCGGTTTCGGCCTGACAATTTGTTTAATTTTGTTTTTTACATTTCTATTTCGGTGCACCTCTAGACATCCACTGGAACTGTACCCCCCACCCCACACATATATCAGCTAAGGAACTACAAGTCCAAATATGCCATCATTGTCCCTGTACACCCGCCGCCCACACACACACACACATATCACCCAGGGAACGGCAATATCTGGTTGTTGTACAGGGGCAATGAGGGCATGCTGGGACTTGTAGTTCCCTAGCTGATATGTTATGAAGCTGTATTCTACCTGAAAGTACTACAATGCCATTTTAGAACTAAGAATAGAACATAAACTAAAACTTTTTTTCTTCTTCTAATACTCACCTGATTCCTGGATCCACCAACAAGCGCGGCCTCCCATCTCCCACGCTGTTAGAAGTTGCATACAGCGTGTGCTGGTTACTACTTAAAGCGGCGTGCGCTGTGTGCAGCTTCTGAGAAGATACGCTATTAGCATAGCGATGAAGCGGGCTGCACATTTTGCATCACTACCGCTACGCTAATAGCGTATCTTCTTAAAAGCTGCACACTGCACGCGCCGGTTTTAGTAACCAGCTGCCTCGGCCGCATAATCTGCCATAACGGAGCCTGGTGCCTTGTTCTGGTGACAGTCGGCCCGGCTCGCAGCAGGCACCCCCCGCCATCTATGCGCCCGGGGCAAACGCCCCCCCGGTTGTTACGCCACTGGAGCTCATAGAAGTTGTTTCACTATTGGACACATATTTTGAATTTTTATAAATGACCCCTTATGCTGCTAGAGAGTTTTTATCTGTACCTTTGCTCCTATGGACATTGCTATCTAGTTCTTCTACAGCATGTTGATATGAAGACTTTAAAACACTGTGAAGTGGAAGATGGTGTAATCAAATATTGATGCAGTGATTGTCTCCTTTCCAGAGTCCATGGTGTTGCTGGGCTCGATTGACTGCTCTCAGCTGGTGTCTTTGTTGAGGTTTCAGCTCAGCAGAAAGCTTCGCCTACAGCAGCTGAGAGAGAGAGAGGATGGGGGTAGAAAGGAAACCGAGAGCACTGTACGATTCCAGGTAAATGATCAACGTTTCTGTCATTTGCATGTCAGCACTGTAAAGAAATGACTGCATTTCCTTCTTCTTTTGTGTGCTGAAGAAGTGGTATGTAACAGTGAGTAGTGGAAAAAAAATCTGGTAATCAGCAGTACCCAAGTGCCACACAAGCCACCTAAGCCTCAGTATAAATTTGCGTGGTGCATAGATGTGATTAGTAATACAAGCAACTACTGCTATTATACATGATTTATATAGCGCAAACAGTTTGCACAGCGCTTTACAATATAAGGAAGACATTACAGTTACAATAAAAGACAAGACAAGATGGTAAGGAGGGCATTTACATTTGTGTAAAAAAAAAAATCTTCTTGCTGCATTTATAATGTTAGTTATTTGTGCTGAAAAAAGACAGTTGTCCATCAAACTCTCTTAAAACCTCTAACATCAGACAGTAACTGACTTTGACTGATTGTGCAATTTTATCTACAATATTTCCCTACATTCAGATTTGAACTGGGTGATGTTAATGTTGGACACAACTTATTCTTCATGAACCTATGCTGCTTCTATGTTAGATTATTCTCCTTGATGTATTTTGTATAATATACCTAAGAATACCCTTTAATAATTCACACACAATAGAAGTCAGACTTACTGGTCTATAGTTTCACATATGGATGTCCCGATGCCAGTTTTTCAGGCCCAAGTACAAGTACTTCCCCTCATGTACTTGCCAATACCAATTACCGATATTTTTTCTCAAAGGGACAGATTACTTTACATGATCCATAGTACAACTACATGTTATGTACTATGGATCATGATTTAACCTATTCATGTTAGCAGGGGAGAATTGTAACTCTATTGCTGGAGTGTAGTGGAGGTGTGTGCTGTAAATATGTACTACATATACATTACACACGTCCAGTACACTATACCAATAGATTTACAGCCAGTCCCGTCCCAGCTTCCCTCACTCACAGTTTCACTCCGATCCCTGTTGCCTCACGCCGTGCCTCTTAGTCGGCGCTGGCCAGGATCGCTGCATCGCGTCTCGGTGCTCAGCTTGTGGGAGGCGCTCACAATTCATTACATATACAGCACATACGTCCAGTACACTGCAGTAATAGAGTTACAATTATCCCCTGCTAACATGAATAGGTTAAATCATGATCCATAGTACATAATAGTACATAACATGTAGTTGTACTATGGATCATTTAACCCATTCATGTTAGCAAGGGATCATTGTAAATCTATTGCTGCAATGTACGGGACATTTGTGCTGTATACGTACAGTACATATGGAATGCACTGCAGCAATAGCTATACAATACTGCACTGCTAACATGAATGGGTTAAATGATCCGTAGTACAGGGCTACATATCATGTACTACAGATCATTTAACCCATTCATATTAGCAGGGGATAATTGTAAATCTATTGTTGCAGTGCATTCTATATGTAGTATATAGTACATGTTCATATAGAGTGCACTGCAACAATAGATTTACAATTATCCTCTGCTAACATGAATGGATTAAATGATCCATAGTACAGGGCTACATACAGATCATTTAATCCATTCATGTTAGCAGAGGATAATAGTAAATGTATTGTCTGCACTGTATTAGCAGTGTGTACTCTATATGTACTCTATATGTAGTACATATAGAGTATATACTGCTAAGGCAGTGCAGACAATACATTTACAATTATACTCTGCTTAATAGTGCTCCCCCCCAATCTGCCCTCACTCACTGTGCCAGTGTTCGAACACCGGAAAGAGCAGCGACAAGTCAGTACTGGACCGGTGGGAGGAGCTCCAGGTGGGGTTCTAATTTAGCTGGGTCAGAGGTGCCGGCCAGCTAAATTAGGACCCCACCTGGAGCTCCTCCCACCGGACCAGCGCTGACTCGCCGCTGCGGTAATTTTTTCTTTCTTACTTACCTCGCCGAGCGTCGCGTCACTGCTGCTCCGGTGGGGGGCGCTCCGAGCGGGGTCATCTGGCAGTCTCCGGTCACCTAAATTAGGACCCCGCCTGGAGCTCCGCCCACCGGAGCAGCAGTGACGCTCGGCAAGGTAAGTAAGGAAAAAAAAACATAGCGCAAGCTTCGGCGCTATGTATCGGGGCATTTTGACAAGTACAGGTACTTGTCAAAATGCCCTGTATCGGGCCTGATTCCGATGCTAGCATTGGTATCGGGACATGCCTAGTTTCACAGATCTAATAGTTTACCTTTTAATAATGGTACTACATCAGCCATGTGTGTGAGGATAATGGGTCTGGAGAACACCAAACTGTGTAAGGAGAAAGAGGAAGTTGAGTTGCACAAAGTACCTACCCCATTTCTCCAACATTTGTAATGCTGCGACAAACAATCTGATTGAAATTTTGTATTCGTAGGGCCAGGCAGAAGACTGACATTAAATTTACCCCCACACTAAAACAACCAGATCCAGTGCTTAGAGAGTCTGTAAGCCTCAAGCTATTTCTGATTAAGCCCTGCCATAAAACTGCTATTTCATAAGATCTCTACCAGAACATTCAATAGGCTCTAATGTTTCCTGGGTATATTTAGGGATCTTAAGCTCCGATCGAGAGACTTTAACGAAGCCCTATATCAAAATTACTAAAGTGTTCCTTGGTCTGGTGTTTTCTTAAAAGGTTAATAGCCATCTTAAACCTCCATTAGCAGAGACTTTTATTGCATGTCGTAATTACTCTAGGAGAGCAGTTTAACCAATACAGTGTCTGACTACTTGACCTGAAACTGTCCTTTCATACATATCGTACATGCATATTCAAACAGGGCTCTTAACTCGAGACTTATTTCCTAATGGAGATACCTTCTTAACATCTGGCTACATTTATGTATAAGAAAGTAACAATTGGTTAGGTACTAAACACCCTTATATTATGAGGTGGAGAAAGCTGATGGGACGCGGACACATTACCCCTTCTGAGGAAGTCACACTGTACATAAGATCAATATCATGTCTATCAAATCGTGATTTCATTCTGTGCAAATACTTGTGCCTTCCTACCCCAAACCCCTCAGTCCTTTTTTTTTTTTGGGACGCGGTCTGCTCAGTGACAACCTCTAGAGGGTTTACAAAAGCTGATGCCTCTCAAATTTTTTTGGAATTTTTAGAATGTTTTCTGTAAATATTTTTCTTGCAACATTTTTTTAACTTTCATTAAAACAATATTTGAAAATAGTTAAGCTAATTCTTTAATTACTGTAATTATAAATGAAAGAATCCTTGCATCTTTGAAGAAAGCTGCCACTTTTTAATCTCAATTTCATCCCTGCCTGTTTTGGCAGTGGGTGTCGCAACCATTTCTTGAAGGTCAGAATTGCTATAATCGATACTGTGAACCGTGTGTGTTTCTGTTAAAACACGTGGTAACCCAGGCCCCTGACCATGAGGATGTGGATTGTGATTAATGAGATTTACCAGATGGAGGATTTGACAGCCTGTGTACGAAATACAGAGAATCGGGTCAGGTCCACGTCCTCGTGGATGCCTTGGTTTTATTACAAGACCACCCCTGCCTACTCACAAGCAGTGGGGTCAGCCTCCCCATGTCCCTCTCAGTGATGGTTGAGGGGTTCCCTTCAATGAGAGGTGGCCTACTGCAGTGGAGGCTAGTGCATGGTTGTCTATGGTGGCTGGGGTGGGGACCCAGGGTGTCTTATCCTGTTTTCCTTTTGTTTATCTTCTCTCCTTTTCTCCTTCTTTTCCTCTTATCTACCTGCTCTGTGTCCATGAGTTACCACAATCTGGTAGGGCTCTAAAAAAAAACACATGGTCGCAGCTACTGTGTCTGTGTGTGTCTGTGTGTGTCACAAAGTCTGTGTCACCTTGTGTGTGTGTGTGTGTGTGTGTGTGTGTGTGTGTGTGTGTGTGTGTGTGTGTGTGTGTGTGTGTGTGTGAAGGATTAACTGCAGAGTTAACCAACTCCAGTGAAGATCACTCTGTCTGCTGGCACTTAGCTTGTTGTCCCTCAAGCTTAAAAATCTCTGTGCAGGGTGAGGCTGAGAGGTTCCATTGTCACACAATTCTTTTAGAACTTGGAGAAGCTGCTTTAAGTACTTTTTTCTTGCAAAGTATACCAAACCACCTCCGAACCTTCTAAACCTCTGGAGACGCCCAATTCAATGCTATGGATGCTTTTTACACAAGCAAAGTCAGAAGGGGAGAGAAATGCAATAAGAGGCTAAAAACAAAGCCATGTTTGGGGCAGGCTCCTGCATCTTGGAGATGTATGTGTGCAGATGTGATGCAGGGGTTATAATTGTGCTCAGGAGGGTGGGGAATGGTTTAGTGCACTTTGCATGAAAGCACCCTTGCTCTTTAAGATGTATGCCTGGATAAAATAAAGCGCATATTAGGTACACCTCTGCTGTACATGCACATTTCCTCATATTTTATCCTTATAAAATTAAAAGAATAGAATAATAACCGGTCGCCCTGTCAGAAATCCATGTAGGAAATACTGATTTATTGAATAAGCTTAGAAATGTGAATCTTTGTTTCTTCAGGTGTATGAAGCCATGGGGTGTAGGTATATTACATTCACACCATTCTAGAACTTTAAATATTGATATTTGTTTTCAGATTGCCACAGAGGAATCCACATTTTCTCCTCCCAAAGTCATAGAGGCAAAGAAGCCCCTGAAGCCTGCTTTAAAACGTAACCAGAGTAGCCTAACTGAATATTCCCAAGGTACTTAAGATATATGCAAGTAGGTGTGCATTCTGGCAGGGAAAGGACATTGTTTGATGTATGTTATTCTGTGTTTTCAGATGAATCTGATAATTCAGTAACTGCCTTGAAAAATATATTCTGTGCCAAAGATTTCAGGCAGGATGTAGAGGTAAGGCAACCTTTATAGAGCAGAATGACTGTCTCTTCACTTTTTACACATACTCTCATAAATATGTTATCTCACTCAGCCAATCAAATCTGCTTTTGTCTCTGTGATGTTACTTACACACTAACCATTGCTTTGCTTTTCCATTTCATTGCATTGTTACTTACCATGCAGTCCTGCCATTTGTTTTTTATGTTTTTGCTAACATAAGTCTTCCAAGACTCCTGCATCCCCTTCAAAAGTTAAGGGCAAACGGATACATCTGTGTGTGCGGGTAAGTGAGCAACTAATCTCTTCTCTGTGCTTCCATATTGCATATATGCCAGAGGTATAACAAAATATTTTTTTTCTTATTCTTAGATTAAGGGGTGCTGGTTGGTAATTAAGGTACATAGGGCTATAATGCTGCATGCTGCCTTCAGTAGATTGACAAAACAAAGCTGTATGGACAGCTGAGGATAACCTCTCCCTCCCATCATGCTCCAGTTTTTTGCTAGTGTCCTAGGAGAACAGATGTCTTGTCTGGGAAACAAAAGCAACACAGAGCGCCTCCATAGTGTAAAACTTTTAATTGATGAGTACAACACGCAAGTGAAAATGTACTTACACGAAACACAATGATCATAAGCGTAAAAGGAAACGATAAAATATAAAATCTCCAGCAGGGGAAGTCTGAGGGGATCTCCAAATCAACGTCCTCTGCTCCCGTATGTTTTTTAAAAAGGTCTACGCGTTTCAGGGGCACGCCCCCTTCATCAGAACCTGAGGTACCTTTCCTAAGTCCTGTTCTTTATTTTTAATTGATTGTATTGTCACAATTAAGTCTAAAAGAAACCCCGAATGTACATGAAATACAAAGTATCCAGCGGGTTTAGATGACAGGCTGTGCACGCTAGAGCGGCTTTAGGTTTTTTGTAGTTCGTTTTCCCCGACATCCAATAAGCTCTGTATTCTTTTCTTTTCTTCCCCTTTTTTTGTTTCCTTCGAAATCTCTTAATTAAAATAGTCCCTTGATTATATAAACACCTATTATCCAAGTTGGGATATATGTATTTATTTTTTAAACACCAAGAAATAGTAATGTTTCCAACTGAAAAGGTTAAAAATTAGTCTTTACCAACACCAGCTGTCTGCTTGTCAGACGGAAGTCAGCAAAAATCTCAATTACTGGAGATTGGCTGAAACACCTGTGTTAAAGACTAAACCTTTATGATTGGTCGTCTCCCAAATAAATAGAAGAACAGGACTTAGGAAAGTTACCTCAGGTTCTGATGAAGGGGGCGTGCCCCTGAAACGCGTAGACCTTTTTAAAAAACATACGGGAGCAGAGGACGTTGATTTGGAGATCCCCTGCTGGAGATTTTATATTTTATCGTTTCCTTTTACGCTTATGATCATTGGCTTTCGTGTAAGTACACTTTCACTTGCGTGTTGTACTCATCAATTAATAGTTTTACACTATGGAGGCGCTCTGTGTTGCTTTTGTTTCCCAGATCGATGGTCGTTGTTGACCGGTGGGAGCTGCCTCTATGGTGTACCAATGAACTTTACAGCCGGATTTCTCTGCAAACCGGGGGCGCCGGTATTGCTTTTTTCAGATGTCTTGTCTCCTCTAAGAAAAGCAACCCACTTTTTTCAGCTTTTTATCATGATACTACTTTTCTTTAATTGCTGCAGCGCCACTAGGGTTTATTTTGCAGCTTTCTGGATCATTTAATCCACCAACATAGCCTTGGAGGCCATACCCAGACCCCTCTGTGAGGAAGAAGTAAGGCCATTCTGTAATGTGTCATCAGCGCCCTGGACTCTGCTGAAGGTGCTCTTTTAGACACCCTTGGTGTAACATTGGATTTAGCCTCAAAGCATTTTAGAGTACCAGGGCCGCAGTGCACCAGTCTATTGGAACTCTGTCCTTGAAATCTATTTTGGGTATATGCCCAATGGGACGGCGAAGGCTGTTTGGATTGGACATGTCACCTGGATTCTAATCTGCTTGGTGGGGACTGCAAGGCGTCTCCGAACCACCGCTGCAGTAAATCAGGGCATTGCCTTTATGGTAGCTTGGATGTGCTTAAATTGCTTCTCAACTCCCTAAAGGGGGCATCATGTAGAGGACATCATGATGTTTAAAGATCATGTGGATAATCAGCTAGAAGCCCTTTCCAAGGCCTTATTCACCTTCACCTTGCAACCTACCATTGCTGCCATGTACATCTAGCAGACCTTGTTTCTGGTCCAAGAATATGCCCCGGGATCTCATGCCTGTGGCCCTGCTCTACTATGTTGATGGGTTGGTGGATATGATCTAATATTCAGAACGAGTCTCCTTTAGGTACATATGCGGAGAACTTTGTGACTCAAATGTTGGTCTGCAGAATATCAGTGCAAAAAATGCCTTTTGTGTATGCACCTTGGTGGTAAATGGCTCTTTGGCAAATCCCTGAAGTACTTTATCAAGGATTTCATCAGGGGAAAGAGCATCCTTTTGCACCAGCAAAAAAAAGGTTAAGCCTCAGACTGATAAACCTCAAAGGCTAAGAAGTGTTCCTTTTAGTTTCTCCCGGGCCTCCAAGCCCAAGGCAAAACCTGGTACTGGAAAAGGAAAGGTTCCAGGAGTTCTACTTAAGTTTACAGTTCTCAAAGCAAGTGGGGGCATTTGCCCAATCCTGGACTCAAAGATTCTCAAAACCTTCTTTTTGGCTATAAACATTTTGCAGGAAATCTTCAAGATCGGCCATTGCTTCCCTCCATCCAGGGCGCTTCCTGGCCCCTGTGAACATCTAAGATGCCTACTTGTATGTGCCCATCCTTATGGCACATCAATGCTTCCTGTGATTTGCAGTGGGCTCACAGCATTGCCAGTCTATGACCCTCTCTTCTGGTCTATACAGTGGACAGTGTACTAGCCCCTGTATTTACTCTCCTATGCTTTCGGATCATTGCCATAATCAGATACCTAAAGAAACTTTGGGTGAGGTAACGGTTGGCACAGACTTTGCTAATCAGTGTCCAGCTTATTGTTCAAACTCTGCAAAGGTTCAGGTGGATCCTGAACCTCGTGCTAGAACTGACTCATCACTTGATTTATCTAGGCCTATTCCTGGAAACCTCTCTGTCCCGGGTCTTCCACCCACAGGAAAAACAACAAATTCTCCTTCCATGTTTGGATGATACAGAGCCAACCAACCCTCTGCTTTTGCATGAGGGTTCTGGGCTTAATGGTAGCCTCTTTCAAAGCAGTTTCAGACTGGTGCAACTCAACATTCTGGATTGGCAGGACAAGAAGATCCAGTCTCTGGACCTTCCCTTGCACCTGACCCCCAAAACCAGGTTTGCTCAGGTGGCTCTGGAATTCTGCCCTGAAGTCAGGAAAATCCTTCCTTCCATCGGTCTGGAAGGTTCTCGCGATAAATGTCAGACTGGGAAGGAGTCCTGGACACCCTCTTGGTGCAAGGGACTTGGCCAATGAAGAAAGCATATTTTCCCAATCAACATTCTGGAACTCTGTTCCAGAATTGGTTATCCCTTTATTGCTCGACCTCTTGACTGCAACATCATCCAACCAGTTGGACAACACAATAGTGGCTTACATCAACCACCAAGGAAGAACCGTATGTCTCACAACTCAAAGAGAAGCGGACCAGATTCTAGCTTGGGTGAAACTTTGTGTTCCTTTCTTGAGTTCTTTCTAGACTCAGGAGAATGGTTACTTCACTGTTTTGCCAGTGTCCAATCTCCTAAAGGCTGCACCATAACTTTATGTACCTGAACTACCATGCTGCTATCTCACATGGGACCGCTGGATGTTGATGACCTAGCTTCCAGGCTCAACAACAAACTCTTCTCTTCTCAGTGGATACACTGGTGACTTTGTGGAATCCGTTCAACCTAATCTACCCCTTGCCTCCTTTTAAAACTCCTTCCTCGCCTGCTCTGCAGGATGGACATAACAGGCATTCTGGCTTAATGCACAGAAATGTCCCAAGTAGATGTGGTTCTTGGACCTCATCAGACTCTGCAGGTTATCCCAGATTGCTCGGATCTTCCATCCAAAGGACCCGTTTAGCATCCTGCTTCTCGGTCGGTCTCTTGCTTGAACAGGCTGTCTGTTGGAGTCCAAGTCCTGAGAGATAGAAGATATAGTGGATTCAGATCTCAAGTCCTGAGAGATCTGAATCCACTATAGCAACACTCCTGAAAGATAGAAAGTCGACTTCTTGTAGAGTCCACAATCTCACCTATAAAGCATACTTCTCATTGTGCAAAGCAAGGAATTTAAGTATGTACTCCTGTCTTTTCTCCAGTCTGGCTTTGAATACCATCAAGGGTCAAATCTTGGCCCTTACAATTCTCTTTCAAACATCACTTGCCTCTCCCTCCTTAGTAAAAATACTTTGCACAGGGATCATGCATATTTTTTCCCTCTACATTCCCCAGTGACTTCAAGGGATCTCAGCCTAATTCCCTTGGTTTTCCATCAACCACTCTTTAAACCTATCGGTGATATTCCCTGTAAACTCCTCGTTACCATCACTACGGCAAGTTTCTGAGTTGGCGGCCTTATCCTGTAAATAACTCTTTCTTGTGCTTCACAAAGTCTTGAGGCCTGAGGTCTATTTTCTCTCCTAGGTGATTTCTTTCTTCAACCTTAACCCAGACATTGTTCTTCCATCTCTGTGCCGTGCTCTGTGGCATCCTAGGGAGATATACCTCCATTGTCTGGATGTAGTATGTGTCACACTTAGTTTCCTTTAAGAAAACTGACTCCCCAGGCGCAAATGAAGGTTCAGAGACTGGATCTTCTTGTCCCTGTAGGGGACTGTCTGCTTCTCGCTCCACTATCTCCAGGTTAATTTGGCAGCTCATCATTCAAGCCTATAGGATTAAGGTTCCGCCTTTCCCTGTCAAGGCGTACTCTACTAGGTCTGTGAGTGTTGTACAGGCTTTTCGGCATCAGACATCTGTTTCTCTGTTCTGCAAGGGTTCCCACCTTGTATTCTGTTCACATGTTTATTGTGGTGTTTGCTATGTTGCCCACCCTTCAGTTGGATGTCACTAGGTACCGGAGTTACCATCCTGTATCCCTTAAAGGAGAACTATGGGGTCAGTGTTTTTCCCCATAGTTCTCCTTGGGGTAACGGGAGGACACAAACTAGCGTCCTCCCGTTACCCTAAGCTCAGTATACCGCGAGCTACAGCTCGCGGTATATTGAGACGCCGCACCTGGAGCGGATCCCGACTTAGATGACGGGATCCGCCCAGCTGCGTGAGTGACAGCTGGCTCTGCCTATCTAGAGGCAGAGCCAGCTGTACCCTCCCCCGTCCGTTCCGCCAGTCAGCGCTGGCAGATCGGAGCGGGGAGAGGGGAATCCAGCCCCTCCCCCTGTCACGGCAGAGAGCCGTGACAGGATCGAGAGGTGAGGGAACCCGGTATGTGTTCTCTCACCTCCCGATCTACTGAGCCGACCTGTGACAGTCTCATTGTCACAGGTCGGCTTAGAACTATGAGGTGAGTGGAAATCACTCATGTCATAGTTCTCCTTTTAATGTATGATTAAGAAATTAGGAGTTTTGACATACTGTGTTCTCTGTGTTGCAGTGTTCTCAATACAGCATAGTCTGTTTTCGATTCGTGTTTTTGGGTCTTCTGTTTTCATAACTGTCATGTGTGGGGAAAAAACAGGGTTATTCACAAAGGAGCCGCAGGATCTAGCTGTAGCTTCGGCTGATCCTTCGGCCGCCGGAGCCCTCAGTCGAACCGAAGGCCTGCTGTACGGGCTATTCACAATAGCCCGTACAGCAGCCAAGTGCCTTAGCCAAACGCATATGCTTCGGCTGGACTGTGTCGCAGCCAAAGCAGGGATTGCTTCCCCAACCACTCTCCCCCGTAAGTGACAACACCTTGGCGGAGCCAGCCGTTTTTTTTTATTTGTTCGGGACCTGCAAGACAACTCTGGCAGGTGCTGGCCAAATGTAAACAGTAGGGCGGATCTAGCGACGATGTCACCGCTAGCTCCGCCCAATTGTTTATATTTTGCCAGCATCTGTCAGAATCTTCATTCC